TAATGTTATATATTAACGTTAAGCGTTTATAACATTAACCTTTATAAGGTGACAATTAAGATAAATTTAAAAAAAGAATGTCACATTTTTCTAAGATGTTTTATTTGGCGAAAAAAATGTAACGAGGTCGGGTTCTTTCACGCATGGTAGCGTATGGCACCGCCAGATTTCCGGCCGCGCTTTTGTCTGTCGAAACACTCTAAATATTTGCTCTGTACTGCTAATGTGTCACGGACGCGCGCGCCAAGTATTTTCTTCTCGTGCACGCCCTATTACGTCACCGATTAAACGTGCGTAATGACGATCATACATCATAAGTCAGACGCGCATTGAAGCATCTTCGTTCCAGTGTCCTGTAGCAAGCCAATTTATGGATGCACTACATGTATTTTCTAACAAAATGATGAAGAAGTTATGAAAAAGTTACAGATTTTTCTATATTGTATTAGAAAGTAATAACACAGAAACGCATTAGAAACTGTAGAATTTGGATAAAAAATTATTTTAATTTGAAGTAGTACATGTTTTTAAAACAAATATAAATTAAGATAACATGAAAACATTTTCATTCAAATTATAAAATTGCATTGTTAAATTTTAATATTGACCTTATCAAACTGTATATAACATTCAATCACATAACATTCCTTTTTCTACGAAAAGTATAAATTTCCAATTCTAATCATTTTATCTAGAAAACTATCAGGACATGTTTAATAGAAAAAAAGGCAAAGTCCGTAATTACATTGGTCGACACTAAAATTGTATTCTACACCAAAATAACCAATAGTCTTATTAATTTTGTGATGCTAACAACGAATATATTATTAAAAATTGTATCTTAGCTCTAATTTTTCTAATACCCCTGGTGAAAGAATTTCGCTGAAATTATTTCACGTTTTGGACCATTTCAGCGAAATTGCTGAAAATTTGCTGAAATTTCACTGAAATTTTTGCTGAAATTTCGCTAAAAATGAATTTTTCCGTTAAAAATTGACATTAAACTGAAATTTTTCTGAAATGCTGAAATTTTGCCGAAAAGTGTTTCAAAACATAGAATAATTTCAGCGAAATTTTTCCAACTCACGATTAATTCTCAAATTGGAAAGAGATGAGGAATAAGTTAAACCCCGGTTAAGAGGTTTTCATCAGAAAGAGGGTTAATATTTGCAATTTTTAATAGTTTAATAGTTTGCTGAACATTTTTTACTCTACATAACTGATCATACACTAGTACTCATAGTATCGAAAAGCTACTGCATGCGACGCAAATTCAGCTCAGGGAATTATAAAATTCACAATGAATTTCCGCGAGAATGATTTGCTTCGCTGGAAACGCATTCGATCCTATTTTATGACGTTATTTTGACGTTGCAGCGGTACAAGGACACACGTCGTAATTCCACGGCCTGCCTGGCGTGCGTATCGAAAAGGTTCGCTATCGCATTACACGCGAATGCGCGCTTATTATCGTCTTACGTAATTGTGGCGGAACGGTTATTTTTAACTCGCTATAGATTAAACAAATAGAGTAAACATTTCAAATCACCAGACATTCTGTTGGATTATAATTAATAAACTTTTAACTAGGAGCGCAATTAGTAGAATCTCGATTGTATGAAATATTGATGCGCAATGATTAAGAAATATTGTTATTGTGGTTTTGAATACGATATTTACTAACATCGACCTTCAATTAATTTGAATTAATATTTACATAGTAATAAACAAAGGTAAATATACTGAATCAGGCCCCCCTAATTGGTATTTTTACCAATTATTTTGTTAATAACTTTTTAATAGACAACGCGCGACCGACCGAGCGACTGACAAGTAAAACTTATCGGAAATTACTCAGGATCATGATTTTAATAATACGTGTTGAGGTCAGAGCGGGATCTTCTACTTCGTATATTTTGCCAATAAATAATTAAATAATTTTTAAGTTAAAGTAAATAAATAATAATTTAGACTGTGTTCCAAATTTATTATATCAGCGTTGAAAATAGTTTACGTTACGTGTACTACAGATTTTCAGTACTGACACTCAATTTTGGGTAAAAGTTTACACCAGGGAAACTCTTCCTTCAATAATCTTGACCTTGACATATGTTTAATTAATATTATTGTTACACAAAAATTTACATGTACGTGAATTATTGATGTAGTATTAATGTAGTGTTAATGTAGTGATGTGTCAACGACACGTAAATCGTCTATGTATAAATACTATTTACAATATGACTATAAATCGTCTTTAGGATCCCCTTGAAGCAGAAAATTTGTGATTTCGTAACGACTTTATGCGAAACGAGATCCACATCCATCCTCAAATCTTTCTCTTGCCTAAGAACACACGACTTTCCACACGAAGCGCGACCCACTCCATCTTTCCGCTTGCTTAGAGGCTTACGACTGCGCAAGTGCTCACGACGTTCCAAATCTAAACTTCGCTTCGCGTGGAAAATCGTGCGCATCCTTAGGCAGGAATGAAGGTGGATCCGGTTTCGCGCGTAAAGTTGTACTCAGGCTGCGTTCGGAAACATCATTTGCGTTCGGAATTAAAATTATCTTGCACACTTTTACAAATTGTTTTTTCTTTCGACTATCGGTTTTTTGTCGCCTGTAAAAGAAAAAAATTATTATAAAGAAAACACACAAATGTTCAACTTGTAATTTTTGTAGGTTATACTCGCTTTGATCAACATTATCAGAAATCGTCGTGGAATCGATCCACACGTTGTACATACGTATGACATACAATTTCTTACTTTCCATATATTGTGTGATTACTACATAAGTATATCTATGTCAACTCGTCCTCAATGAAATATTTATGAAGAGTACGTGATTGCAGTTACTTTAATTTCGACGATTATATTTATGCATAGATAGTAATTTATCTGCCGACAGTACGCACAGTGTCTTTTTTTATCGTATTAACTTGTTCTTTTTAGATATAAGAATTGCAACGGTATGAGATACGCAAACACGAAGAGAAGAAAGAAGTCTATAGACATGCTTATATATGTCTTATGGGCTTTCTACAATAAGTCATTACCGAAGCTTTAAGTCTTAAGCCGTAAAAAGTTGACCAATCACAGTATCAAATATAAGAAGACTAGTCGACACACACACACACACACACACACACACACACACACACACACAATGATTGATCAAATTTTTACTGCTAAGTAATAGCTCATTGTAGGAAGCCCAGACTTTGATCGTATTTTATGTTATTTTAAGGAGAAAATGATATTATGAATCCCACTTATACTTTATACAATAATTGGTTAATAATCAACATTTAAATTTAAAACTTGACAATTACATTCCTCAGAGTGTTGTACAATCGATTCTTTACGAAACATTTATTACTTAAAACGTTCTTTATAAAAATATAGCACATAGTACCTCCCACAAAAATAGATTTAGAAAATTGGTTTAAAAAAAGCACAATGTTTGATTACATTATTTGTACGTTTCTATTATAAATTGTTGGATTTTTTGTTTGTTGTTTACGTAATTCAGCATATTTTTTTATTCGACAAGCATAATTGCAAATTTTTGTTCAAAATGTTAAAAAATGGATCATCATTTTTTATTATATTCAGAACATAATTTCAGAGACTCAAACACAAAAAAAATTCAAATCTTGGATAATAGTTGATTTTAAGCACTTTATTCTTTCTAATTAAGTCGTTTATACTTATTTAAGGAATTATTTATCCTACTATATACTAAGTTTATGATTTAGTCAAATTAAGCATGACCTCCATAATTAACGTGATTATATGCCTGACTTGTGGGTGGATGTGTAGTCGTGTCGGTCATCCGCGACGATTGCCAGGTCAAGTAGATTAATTGGTGCGCACGACGGGATCTTAAAGGGCCCGGATGAAATCATCCGGTGAAACATTACGGAGTTGTTTATTTCGAAAAGGGCGTGAGTCATTTTTTTAGTCAGTCTTTCTATGTTTCTATATTTCTTTAGTTTCCATGATTGAACCTCGTTAAACAAAGGGGACTACATAATGATCGTCCGATATGCATTATCGTTAGACGCGGAAAAAAGTACCAGACATGTCAAGGAGAAATAAATTTCCATAAGTGTCGCGCGCAATGTGCAAAAATATCTAAAATATTAATTTTCTTTTAAACAAGATTAAAATATTAAGAGAAGGGCTGGCAATATGAATCTGACTTAGTTCGTGATATGTAAATTCTTTAATATGAATTGTTGTTTTTTGATAACAATATAATCAATCATGACTCCTTAGAGTAATAACTCCTTAGAGGAAAACATTGTAAATATTAAGTATCAAATTGGTTAGTAGTTTATTACTTCTCAGATAGCAAGTTATTTAAATTGCCCGTAATATTGAGGAAAGCAATTTTCAATTGATTTTGCCTATTAGATTGCCGGTTTTTATTGTCTTCAATGATGATTAGAAGCAACTTGATGGCAATATTCAGGCAATAGTTCCCTCTTTCAAATATATCGTGGCAATTTTTATGGACACTGAAAGGAAACTTGTGTCAAGCAAATATTTTCTTTCTTATAATTAGGAGCTTGGCTATCTGGGTTACTTTAAGTATTAAAAACACTAACAACAATGCTTTATATTCTAATACTCAGAATAAATGATTAATCACTAATCAATTTAATACTTACAGTAGATAGATATTAAATTCCTCTAAAAGACTATATATTTAGACTTTTTCCAGACAGCACACAGTATTTATAAAATATTTACAAAATATTTTATATTTTGTATTACAAAAATATAAAATATATTATATTTTACTTATATTATTATTTAACAGCGGTGCAGACAGAGAGTTAAATATACACGAAATATATTTTAAGTCATTTTATTACAAATTTTGTTATAAATTTTATTTTGTATACGTGTTACATGTATTTTTAATGAGAACTATATATGTATGAATAAATATATATGTATATATAAAAACATATAATGAGAAAAACGTTGTTTTTAAAAAAGGACAAGATTATTTATATTTTCTGCAAAAAGAGAAATTTTTATGCAGAAACGTAATTAATAGTATAAGTATTGCCGAAGACAACGAACATAATTTAATTGTAATAGAATTTAATATGTGAAACTTTTCTTTGGTATATATTGTTAGTTGCAACATGAATTGGCGTTGATGGAATGAAACAGAAAATTTTTGGTAAATTTTAAAATAATGTTTAGTTTCGTTCTATTGAAATTCTTCCTTAGCGTAATGAAGAAAACTTAATATTAAATCAATCAAATATGCTGCACCTTCTATAACGCACAAAGAGCCCACGGCCAAGCCGATCTGAAATTATTAATTTTTTTGAGTTTAATACGACACAATTTATCGCTGATTTCAAAGAAGATGGGATCAAATACATGTTCTATAAAACAAACTTTAGTAAGTTTTTGTTTAAATAATACTCAGTCAACAGCAACTAAAAGACAACATAATATCAGTTATAATTTTGTTATAATTTCGCATTTAACAATGTATTTGTTATGTAACCAAATATTATTACATTTATATTGTTGAGTGTAAAATTATAACATTGATCTTATGTTACTTTCGACTATGAGTAAATAGCTGTTAAATGGAAGAAAATGCACGTTTGTTGTAACTATTTGCAAGTTTATATCTATAGCTTTTAATTTTTTAGTGCTTTTTTTGTGATCTTGTAAGCAGAGTCCGGATCTCGATGTTGTTTTTTTTCACTTCAAGTGAAAGAACTCGTACGCGAGAAGTAGTATACTGTCTACGCTGCTACAGTGTAACTCCTAGGTCTCATACGGTAGAAGAAAACAATGTGTATCATTGCACATAATGGAAGCAGTAGAGAGGAGACAGTATCAATCAATATAATCAAATTGATTATAAATTACCTGCGAAAGCAATATTTGACAGCTGACTCAGCGTCAAATGTTTGCGGCCATATTGCTTTTTGACCGATTCCTGATTTGTCATTTATAAGGGACTGCGCATTCACAGGAATGATACACTTTGTATCCTTCTACCATGGATTTTCGTACACGCGTTGTCGTGTGTATAGTGCGCGTTACCATTAATTTAACATTATTTGAAATTATATTAATAATTTTATGACTTATTAATTAATTTGACAATTATCACATAATGTATCAAAATTCGACTGATTGTAAATTCTACCTGCATTCTGGTCTACTTATATCATGGATGGTACTGCTTCTCACGGCATGCGGCACCCAGAGTGAGAAAAAACGATATCGAGATCCGAACTCTGCTTATAAGTTAGAGATTCGACTTACCTGCCTCTCTGGCGCATCATATATGAATTTTTGCTCAGGTTGATAGCCATGCCAATAGTGTAAAGCTGTTCCACCCACAGCCACAAACATGAAAGTCCCAACGAAATTCATGATGATTTCCTTTAAAAAAGGTGATATATTCTGATGAAATTGTTCCAAAATTTCTTTAAGATTGTCGAACTTTACGAATACTATCTTTTTTAGATGAAGAAAAAAACGTGTATTCGATACTTAATTTACTTTTAATATTTTTTTGTATATTAAAAATGACACTTAAATTTTAAATCCGAACCAGTGAATGTCGTTTTGCCAAATGCAATTTAACGCAATTGTTTAGATTGCATATAATTATTGACCTAATTCGGTTAACTAAATATAGGAAGTTTACTTTTGGTTTAATTTTAAGTACTGAAGAGGACCCTATAATCGTAGGTCGAAACATACATATATTTATTATAATATTATTTAAAATAAATTAAAATTCATCAATAATATCTAACGCCGACTCTTAGAGGTCTTTTATTCGTTTTTGATTAATTTCTTTGGAGCCTATACAGTTTTATTAATTGAATAATAGAATGTATTATATGTATTTGCTTTTATAGTACTATGTTTATGTAACTAAAGTTCATTGTATGAAATAAAAAGTGAAATGAAAAGAATACATACAACAAGAGTCTTTTTGTGGTCGGAATTGCCAAAACAGTAGCTCATGAGGACGACACTCGTATAGATGAAGAATCCGACGAATACGCCGGAAGCGACGATCTCGGCATCGGGATTCTTGTCTTCATTCAAATTCCAGGTTCCACCGACGCCTAGAAACTCGCCACCGTATCCTGTACGATAGAGGATCAGTATGATGAGGTTGATAACCTGTGATAAATCGACAAATTTTAAAAATACGTACCTTTCAGAAATTCTAAGAATTCATCGAAAGCAAATAGTATCAAGATATAAAAGTCTTATTTTCATTATAAAGAGATTTTTCTGGGACACTGTAGTTTCGTGCACTATAGAAGCGACAACGGCATAGCGTATCGCTTGCTAAACAGCGTACGTTATCGCAGACCGATAAGGGCATTACAAATGATTCATATGTCCCTTGAATGAGTATATGATTGTTCAATCTACACTTTTTTGTTAATCATCCATAATTGAATTAATTGACGGCATTAATTAAACAATTTACTGAATACAACGTGCATCACAATTCAAATTACTTTCCTATATCAAAGTTTACACCGAAGTTTTATTACGTCATTTTATCAGTCTTCTCGATGCCTTATTGAACACGACTTTCTGATCTCAAACTATTATCTCTGCGTATGTATATATCACAAGAAAACGGTATTCGCTATTTATAGTTTGTATATTAAAGAATTTGTCAAATTGATAGTGAATTTTTTAATGATTGCTTAATTTAATAAATTTTTTTTTTAGTAAAACATTTAATCAATGGTTTATATAAAGAATACCTACAAAAGATATTGAGACAAAATCCCTTTAAAAAATAGTTCAAAATTGAATGTAAAAATGGATGACATTAGATTGTTATAATATTTATAAATTAATTACTCTAAAAATTCTTCGACTTTGACTCGTTCAAAATTATATTGTATATACATTGAATTTATAAACCAAACCAAGAATTCCAAATTGACAGAAAGATATCGTTATACATTACATGCAATAGGATATTTTATGGAATTTTCTTTCTCTCTCTCTCTCCCTCCCCCCCCTCTCTCTCTCTCTCTCTCGTTTTCTTTCTATAAATATTCACTTTCCACGATTACTGTACGAAATCAAAAATACAATCTTCTCACCAACTTTAGCACTTTGATCACTATACTTGCAATAGTCTGCAAGGACACCATGTTTGCAGACTTCTCGGCACTCGCCTTTTGCTGTGAAACGTAATAAAATGAAACTTACGCCAGGGTTTGATTCCGAAGCAGAACCAAGCCCTCTTTATCTAATCAGATGATACAGAGAGTACGTTGAAATGGGGATAAGAACCGTAGAAGATAGTCGCACATGCGCGATCTTATCTGAACGATAATTTAAACTGGCCGTATCGTAAAATTATCGCATTATATTTCATTTTCGCAACCGAAATAACGAATTTCTTGATAATATCATCCAGAAATGTTTATTGATAATTTTTTAGGAACTCGGCCTAGCGATCAAACCGGAACAAATCCTTGAAATGGAAGCTCACGTGGATGACATCGACTTCAATGCCGCCGCAAAAGAAGAAAAAGCAACGAAGCACGATGTGATGGCGCACGTTCATGTATTCGGTGAACAATGTCCCCTGGCTGCGCCTATTATCCATCTTGGTGCAACCAGCTGTTATGTGGGCGATAATACGGTACAATTTCCATCTTAATTCTATCATAAAAATATTTTATTTTGTTTATCTTGATAATAAGATATAATTGTGTTTTTAGTTACTGCTCTAATGAAAAATTCTCATAATATCTCATAACGTTTTTAAGAAGTCTTTTTATGTTTTAAATCTCATAACATTTTTAAGAAGTTTTTTATGTTTTAAGTTACCGAAAATATCTTAAGTTTCTTCAAATTTTTTTCAGTTTTCTTCGGATTTATTTTATTCAATCTTTTTTGGAATTATCAAATGAAAAATCTTACAATATTGCAAAAATTTTAAGTATAAAAATATTCTACATCAAAGATGTAAACTTTTCCAACATTTCTGATAGGTGTTCTAAAATTCATATAAAAAATTTTTATTATACAGAGAATTCTAAGGCCAGCCACACACGTTCAAGTAAACTTGTCAAGTATGCTTGCGCAAGCCACTTTTGCGAGTTTGCTTGAACGTGTGTGGCATAAAGAAATTTTTCGCCAGGGTGATCAGTCAATAATTGATTGCTGTGCTGTTAACTCTTCTACGTTTATTAGCTTAACTAACTGGTCGAAATTATCTAATTTGCGAATATTGTTTCTTCTTGAAGGACCTCCTAGTACTCCGTCAAGGCTTCGATATATTACTTCCAAAGCTAGCCGGCGTAATTCAGCGTCTTGCGAAATTCTCTTACGAAAACTGCAGTCTGCCTTGTTTGGGCTTCACTCATCTTCAACCCGCACAACTAACAACAGTTGGCAAAAGGGCGACGCTATGGCTACAGGACTTATTGATGGATGAGAGAGCTATCCGTCGCGCCAGAAACGATTTGAAATTCCGCGGAGTTAAAGGCACTACCGGCACTCAAGCGTCTTTCCTTCAGCTTTTTAACGGTTGGTTTGTTTAGTTTTCTAATTTGCAACTCTTTTATTTTCACCAAGAAAAAATATGCAGAATAGTTCACGAAATATAATGTCGAGATTTTTTAGGTAACCTTAATTAAAGAGACTAATTTTTAGAAATAATTATATATAGAATTTAATTTTAATTTGACTTTGGAAAATGAATTTATATTACTAAATTTGAAATTTAAATTAAAAAAAGGGTTTTATATAAAGTTTTAGATTTCTATTTTCGAAAGATTTTTACATTTTCTGAATTTACATAAATTTATTAATTTTTACATAAAAAACTATGAGCTGAAAAAAGTAGAAAATTTTCTTTCCATTTTGTAAGCTTGTTACGTGTCCAAAAAGTTTGCTAAAATTTTCGACTTGCTGACGTAAAAGCTTAAAGTTTTTCCTCAAAATTCGTTAAAAAATAATCATATCGCAATTTAAAAAACAAATTTTTAAAGCTGAAACTTTGTTCTATAGAATGATATAATTGTTAATTTTTTAAAGAAATAGAGAATGTATAAAAATTACTTTGCTCCTCCCTAAAAACCAAATGAACTTATTTGTCAACCCAATATAAATAATGCATATATAATGCATATATTATATTATGCATAAATAATGCAATAATGTTATTTAATCCAATATAAATAATGCATTTTTTTAACTTTATATAATTGTTCAAATTTATATCGATAGGTGATGCTAAAAAGGTGAAACAATTGGATGCTCTCGTGACTAAGATGGCTGGTTTCGAGAAACACTATACCGTCACCGGACAAACTTACAGCAGAAAAGTCGACATCGAATGTTTGAACGTTTTGAGTTCACTTGGTGCGACCGTTCACAAGGTGAGCCTGAATTGATATATTTACATTTATGCATTGACAGCCACAATTATATGGCAGTTTTAAAAGGATCCATTTTGAACATATACCTTTTCTTTTATTGCAAAGTCTCGATCTTGAATTCATCTTTTTCTTTTTAATTTATCTAGATTTGCACAGACATCCGTCTTCTCGCTAATATGAAGGAAATCGAGGAGCCCTTCGAAAGCACGCAAATAGGATCCAGTGCGATGCCCTACAAACGAAACCCCATGCGCTCTGAGAGATGTTGCAGTGTGGCACGTCACTTGATGGTTCTTGTAAACAACACTCTTCATACCGCGGCGACTCAATGGATGGAACGAACGCTAGACGATTCGGCGAATCGCCGGCTTGTCCTAGCAGAAGCTTACTTATCAGCCGACTCGATCCTGATGACTCTCGAGAACATCACGGAGGGATTAGTCGTTTATCCTAAGGTCATCGCCAGACACGTGGCACAGGAGTTGCCTTTCATGTCTGCGGAGAATATAATCATGGCTATGGTGAAGGCTGGTGGCGATAGACAAGTGCGAAATTAGTGCTCTTTAGATATTCTTTGAATAATTTACACTATTTTTAATGAAAAGTCTAGATCACTTCGTCGAAAGTTTTTTTTTTAAATAACATCTCGCAAAATTTTTCAGCATTTCTACATAAATTTCGGAAGTTCTCGGAATTTCTGTATAATTTTACAATTTTTTTTAGAAAATTTCTTAGATTTTTTATATGAACATTGTAACACTTTTCAGAAATGCTGAAAAAGATATATCTTTTTTAAAGTGTATATATAAATTTTAAAATATTCTAATACCTCTAAAATTTTTCATTCTATAAATCTAAAGAATTTTAAGGTATTTTTCAGAAATCTTTATAAATTTTAAATATGAAGAATTTTAAATATGAAGATTCTTAAAAATATTAGGAGATATTATAAGAATTTTTTTCACCAAAGCAGTCTGTAATTTAATCAATCAAAATGTGTAACTGTATGAAATCTTGTTCTTAATTTTGAAATATAAATTCTTTTATTTAATTAAATTTTATTTTAAATATTATATGCATTATGTGATTAGGTGATTAATTCTTATATGTTACTTTTATGTATTTGCTTTAGGTTTGCCATGAGAAAATCCGCGTATTATCGCAAGAAGCTGGAGCGCAAGTGAAGCAACACGGCTTGGATAACGATCTGATTGATAGGATCAGAAAAAATCCGTACTTTGCGCCCATTTTATCTCAACTGGACACTCTGCTGGACCCGTCAACTTTCGTTGGTAGAGCGCCCGAACAGGTCGTCGAATTTCTTGAAGAGGAGGTGTATCCCGTGCTAAAAAATTACAAGGGATTGGAAACTGGAAAAGTCGAATTCAATATTTGATTATGTTATAAAAATTTCTTCATATTTCTTTCAAAGAAGTCTATGCGTGATGTTAGATTATTATTTAGTTTATTGATAAGAAATACGCGCACAACTTTCTTCATTGCGTTAACATTTCTTATATTGATAACTTTAATAAAATTACATTATTACAGAAAAATAATTCGCACTGTTCATCGCAAATACGCGCGTACGTACGCGTTCTCTAACATTATCTGATAAGGTTAATAAGTTTAGTATAGTCAATCGATATTTCTTCTGTTTTATTAAATTTCTTTTCTTTTCTTTTTCTGTTTTATTTTCTTTCTTTTTTTTTTACTTTCTGCCAATTATACAAGTCTTCTCTCCGTAACTGTACTGTGATAGCAAGCAATTACGATCATACACACACACACACACACACA